AGAGACAATTGAGATCTTTACAAAGCACTCCGAAATCTTCCTATTTTCCATGATGGAAATGTCACCAGAAAAAAAATATCCTATGGAAAAATCACAATCATGAATGAAACTAGCATAAAAGTCTGGTGGAGGGGTTGGGGGGAGAAGGGAGAAAATCCATCTGGTTTCCATCAGGGATGGAGGAAGGAGCGGAGATCACTTGGGGCTGGGAGCTTCCAAGCAGAGGACACTAAATTGGTTAACTCTCCCCTAGATCAAAGTTGCCACTGAAGGGACACAGGTGTCAGCTTAGTGATGTTTAATGAAGGCAAGAAACAAGGCCACCGGGGGCTCCAGGGTTCCCCGACACCGGTGGGCCCAGCCCGTCTGCCTGCAGGACTGGAAGCCTTGGAATAATGACCAGAGGCCTCGGGCTGGCTGGATCACTGGACAGAAAAAAAAGCACATCAGTCACTTCTGCAGTGGAATCCTTCGGCCCCCAAGGGATTCAGCAAAGGCCGGGGCTTAAATCGCCCGCTGGGACATGCAGGTTTCACAGCCCCTTCTGTTACCATGGTGGTTGCTCCTAACAGGCAAGTAGGAAACACTTCAATACTCTTTCCCTAGTTAGAAATACTGGTGAAATCTTGCTTTGGAGAGGATTGATTAGTCAACATGGTCATTTTGAGGGCGCCAAAAATCCAACTTTGCCACATTTTCATCTTTAAACGCCTCAAACAAAAGCTATACTTTTGACCATCTGCATTCTAGGTAAGATCTTAGTCTGGAGGAATTCTGAAATCAACTAATGTGTGGAGCCAGGAAGCCGTGGAGAGGCGGATTCCAACCTGGTGAGGCCCAGGCCCAACTCACACCAGACAAAAAGGGGTGCAGCTCTGAGGGGCCGGCACCTGGGCCCAACCGCCAGGGGAAAGGAAGCAGGGGGGAGTGGCCTCACAATGCAGGACAGGAAAGGGGCGTGGCACGAGCGGGTCTCTGGTGCCCCCCTCCCACTGCAGTAGCCCTGACCTGCCCGCGGGTAGGAGAGGAACCAGGGCGCCAGCTCATGCACAGGTCGTTCAAGGGAGGCAGGCATTTTCTTAAAGCAGCTTCCTCCCCAGACATTTTAGGAACAGAGGTAATGAAATCCCCCTCCCCAAACAAACAACTTTTAAAAACTTTCTTAGGAGCAGTGACATTTGTCAGGGTAAGGAGGGAAAGCCTGGGTTACCTGAAATAGATCAGAGCTAATGGTAATAGAGGCAGATGGGCCAGGACGGCCTAGGCCCACTTTTTTTTTTTTTTTTTTAAATACATAACAACAGATAAAGATATTGTGCAAAAAAATAAAGACATTCACATTTTAGCAGTTAAACTTTTATTTTCCTTTTTAAAATTTTTATTTACTTTTTTTGTTTTTCTTTTCTACAAAAGGCAGATAATGATTGGTTGATCTGCAGTTGTGTTGTGCGCTCCCCAACAGGGGCGGGAGTAGGGAGCCGGGGGTGTGCGCGGAGCGCGTTGGGCGGCTGGGCTGCGGGACCGCCCGACCTCACTGCAGGGCACCCGAGCCCCTAGCTCATGTCTATGGTGTTGAAGACCCACTCGGTGAACTTCTTCAGCTTGTCCGAGGCGTTCTGGGACTCCTCCTGCAGCCTCAGGTTGTCCTCGCGCAGGTGCTGGACCTCGGCCTGGAGGTGCGCTTTGTCCTCCTTCTCCTGGGGGGAGGGGGGAGGGGAGGGAGAGAAGGGCTGGGACGGTGGCCAGGGATCTGTCTGCACCCGGCACCCGTTTCTGGTCTTCATCCTAAACTCGTGCTAACACTGTGTGAACGTGACCTGGCGCGAGACATCCTCAAACCAGGGCACAAGCCTTCCGGAGAGGGGGCGCGGGTGGTTCTGGAATGCACACACATTCACGCGTGCTTTAGCGCCTTCAGTAAGGACTGCCCTAGCCTTGGGGCTGTTGTTTTGGTGGTTTTGTCTTAATGCAGCAAAAGCCACTCGAGCAACCAAGTAACAGTTCTCTTGCTGTGAAAGCCCGAATAAGGATGGAGGCGTGTGGTCTGGGCTACTGACCCCTTACGCAAGGGGTGGGGAGGCCGGGAGAGGGCTTGCGGGGCTGGCACAGAACGGGAACAGTTGTTCTGCACCTGTGAGCACGAGGGCCCTCCTCGCCGCCCGGTGTGAGTCTGGGAACGGGGGACACCCACGTGTCAGCCCACTAAGACTACCTGAGGGCGTTTGTTCGACCACAGTTTGCACGGATCAGGCGCTCTGAGGAAGTGTTTACCTTCTTCAGATCTTCCCGGAGCATCTTCAGCATACCTTCCAGCTGGTCCACTTTAGAAGCCAGAGTGGGAGAGGAATCTTTGCTGCTGGGGACGAGAAACAAAAGAGGAGTGTTGGCAGAAACTGCCGAGGCTGGGTTTGTCTGGCATTTTTTAATGAGGCCGCTGTATTTGTAAAATGGTTTCTGAACCTCCAATTACTCAGTAGGGCGACCCAACGTGCATCTTCCCTTTAGAACGGAAAATGGTAAAATTTTTTTTTTTAATGTTTTATTTATTTCTGAGACAGAGACAGCGCGAGAGGGAGACACAGCATACGAAACAGGTTCCAGGCTCTGAGCTGGCTGTCGGCACAGAGCCCGACGGGGGGCTCGAACCCATGAACCGTGAGATCACGACCTGAGCCGAAGTCGGACACTTAACCAACTGAGCCACCCAGGCACCCCGGAAAATGGTAAAATCTTAACAAAAGGTGATACAAGGGTGAAGACAGCCAATCAGCAGGTTCCTTTGTGAAAGATGCTGTACCTTCGGGACAGGAAGTGTAAATGGTCTCTGGCAGCAGGAGAGGTACTTTCTGGCAGACACAGCTGTCAGCAGTGTGGCACTCCCTGCTCTCTTTAGGGGGCTCTGAGGAGAAAAGAGCCACTCCCCTGTGTGCAGGGGGGGACTGAGGTCAGCTCTGTCTTGGGGCAGCCAGGTCTCTGGTCCCCGTGCAGCAGTGTGTGGTGACTCCTCCAGCTGCAGCTAGGTTATCATGCTCTGGTCTCCAAAGCTTCTCTAAATATCTTTAAATATTTAAAAAATAAGACCACAGGTTTCAAAAGCTTGTCCGTCCAACCTTAGCGTCTCCTTGGCTATTATAATGAGCAAACTAGGCCTGCAATTTTCTTTCTCCCAATTTGTCTAAATGCTAGTAACACCAGGCCAGGGGGGTACCGAAAAAAACCAGTGAGCTAGAGGATGAGACGGCTGGGCGAGGGCTGAAGACCCTTGTCAACGGTTCTCGTCCAACTCTTGTCTACCTGAATTCAAGCTGCGGAAAGTTTCCATGAGCGCCAGCCAGATACGCCACCTCCGCGTCCCACAACCAAGGACCTGAAGCCTTCTGTGGGATAACATGCAGCTACCTCTTCACGGAGGTCAAAAGGGAAGGTAGAGATAGACGGAAGTTTTGGAATCATGAAAAGGCGGTCCTGAACTGTGTTGATGTCTTCTGCTACTTCTAGGTCTACAAGCCCAAAAGGCAAAGCTCCCAGTGGCACGGATGTGACAAGGCTGGAAATAAATGGAATGATAAGAATCTGCAAACTTTAAGAGGGGAACGACCAATGAAGACTCTTAGCGGCCTATCTCGACTTGTGGAGGTTTCAAAGTGAATTATGGGTCTGTGTACGCCTTGATTTTTAGAAACACATTTAACTTCTTTTGTTCACTGAACAAAAAGTGCCAACCATCACCCTCCTATGATTCTACAAGGATTTGAGAACTAGTTGCTCAATAATCCCTTCTTAGGAAAATGGACTTGTTCACTCAGACGGCTCCCTGTTGGAGGTGGCCCAGCCCTTGGTGGTGTTTTGTTTTTGTTTTAATTCTCAACAGCCAAGCTAACTGCCGCTCTCCTAAGAGTGAATATGGCATCCATTATACTCTTGACCAACAACTCATTACTCTTCTCCCTTCCTGAAGGGCATTTCCTTGCACACTTGCTCAAGGAGTCTTCAGGAACAAGTCCCACAGGCTGTCTGGATAACCTATGTCAACCCCACTTTTTTCCTGCTTTTCTGACCAAGTTTTCTAGATACCTGGATGCTTAGCTGCCCTCAAAAGGTTTTAAAGGGAGCTTTCAAACTGATGCAATTACTCTGTGTCAAGGAGCACCTACCATGTGGACCAGGGCGGCCCACGGGATGCTTTAGTATCTACAATATGACGTATGTATCCAACACCGTCACCACTTGAAACAGACGGGAGAATGGAAGTCTGCCTTTGCCCAGCTAAAATGGAAGTCAAGATCCCTGCTCCGAACTCTTAAGAAAATCCTCAAGGCCTCGAGTCACTGCTCGCTTTTCATTCTGTATCTAGTCTCTCTGAATCACCCTGGTGACCCAGACCCAATGCAGCCCCGAAGCAGCCCACCAGGAGCTGCGAAGATACCACCACATTCACAAGCATGGCCAACCGAGAGCAGGGGGAGATCGTGTCCAGAACCAGGCTCAAGGACACGAGGCAGATGACGTTTCTGACCTTACCTGATAAGCCCTGGAAGCACACATGTATTATGATGTCAAATAATGATGACTATTCATGAATCTAAGTCACCAAGGACAGTTTAATTATGTTTACAGTATTCAGTTACCAAGCCTCCTGAAATGTGAAGAGCCTGGCAGGGTGCTGACGAGCTTCAATCAGCTAAGCCATGTGGCCTCTGTCTCCTCTTCCCCGCACCCGTGGTCACGAGAGGAGGTGACCTGCGGCGCAGGGCAGTGACCTCACTCCCGGGTGACCCACCTGCTGTAAGACTTCATCTGGGCCAGGGCCTGCTCCTCCAGCTGGTCACTGCTGGACGTGGCACTCAAGGGGCGGTGGTTTTCCTCAGCAGCAGCGAAGAAGGAGGCTCTCTGGACTGGAAGGGGGAGAAGAAGCCATTCAGCGCTTTGGAGCGACATCCTGGGTCCTACCCACACTGAGGGTCGAATCTAATCAGTGTGCGGGGAGGCATCTGAAACCTTATCCCCTGACCCGTGCAGGAAACAATTACTGTTGAAGCAGTAAGAGGAGAGAGAGGAGCAGTGTAAGTTCTCTTTGAAAATTACTTGCGAATCAATTTTTAGTCCTCCTTTTCTTACTCATCAGAGCAGCATTCTGTGAAAGGTTTCCCTGGAAACGGGCATTGTGCCAAATTTCCAGATCAAGGCTTTCCATCGAGTGAGGATATAAAACGCACTTCTAGAAATCTGTTTTCCACAAGATACCTGGCTATCTTGGTGGGCTTTAGCCAAAATCCAACCATATGTGTCCCAAAATATACCAAACCTAAAACCTGAGCCAAGAAAACGGAATCAAATTTTGAAAAACTTCCCATTAAAAACACAAAACTGCTTCCGCCTCAGATAAGAAAGAGTGACCAACAAATTGAAAGTTAAAATCAAGTCAGTACTGGGGAAGTACCATCAGCTAAGTGGGGATGGAGGCCTTGTGGGCCACCCCATGGCTGCCACATTCCTGAATTCTGTGGCCTAATCAATTCCTCCAAAAAACCGTAGCTTGACTGACTAACCACATTCAATTCTTAGAGCAACTGCAATGAAAACAAGCCCCAAACCACTCATCTGCTATCACCGTTTTATAAACATTTCCAGAGAATTGAAATTGATGAACATCATGAAGCCAGTCTATTCAAAACAGGCCTTTGACAATTTCTGTCCACATACACAGTGAGCAATACATTTGGTCACAGGAAATGTGCTACCAGAGTCTGGAGAGATGAACGAGAAGCACAGAGGGAGTGTCTCCAACATCTGTTGACACTGGGGCTGGCCAATTGGGCCAAGCGTCCTAACGGATCCATCGATGCACTCTGCAAGCATGTCTTTATGATGCAATGAAAGACTCTCTCTGGACATGTGATCTTTTCAGTCAAGAGGCAGCTGGGATTCCCCCTACGCCCTGCCCTTCCCACGTGTGGGGAGGTGAGGCATCACGCTGTGAATTCCTCTGCCGAGGAAACGGCAGGCTCCTTCTGACTATATCATATAATGCGCGCCCCTACCGAGTGCTCGGTAACTGAGTTCAACTGTTTCCGGCAGTGCCGGTCAATTCTGCGTGCTGTTGGTGTGCTCGAGGAAACCGAGTGCATGGAGACGGACCGGAGCCTTGCGCCGCCCGCCCGTCAGCGCCGCCCGGCGGGTCGTGTGCTCTCCTGCTGGGGTCTTTGGCAGACTCACCCTCGTAGGCCTTGGCGGCGTCCACCAGGTTGGACCAATCCAAATCCGCAGCAGCGTCGGGTAGGGGCATCAGCCCAGGGTCGGGCATGGGTGGCCTTCGGGTCTCCTGGACGTCAGTGAGGGAGCTGTCCGAGGCCGAGAACTCTCCTACAGGGAGAGACGAGAGGTCAGATACTTCTCATGCCCGCAGGAGAGCCGCTCAAGGTCTTTACCTAGTTCCTGTTACCACAGGAGACTTCTAAGTCAGCTGTTGTCTGGATCCATGTCCGGTCCAGCACCACCGGGGGCTGTCCTAAAGCTGACGTGACCTAGGAACTGGCTTCCTCCAGTCTTCCCTCATTTTTCAGTCACCTCCCTCTAGCTCGTTGCTAGTAGCACAAGGCACAGAAAAGTCAGTTTTGCACCGAGGCAGCGTGTCTGCTTTTGCGGGACCCGGCGGTCTACAGAGGGGTCCAGGGGGGCTCCAGTGTCTTGCTTTTTTCTCAGTTGAGGATCAGGCTATGAGGTGTGTTTCGCCGGATAGGTGGGTTTTGAAGCCAGACTGGGGAAGCTTGTTGGTACTTGTTCCAGGGGACAGTGTGTGGTTCACAGGACTGCAACCCGGACTCTGACTTCTCCACCCCCCCCCCCCCCCCCCCCCCCGCCCGCTAGCCCTGTACCCTGGGGCTGTGTCTGCAGGGTGGTGTGAGACCCGAATCAGATTGTGTGAGGACGCTCCCTATAGGAAGAGGATGTTAGGACTGGTGCTGGCATTCCTTCTCTTCCCAAGGACACCGGGAGCTACTCTTAGGACTGGTTTGGGATCACAGTTCTGAAGGGACCATTTTCAAATACAAATAGAAAGCCATCCTAGTGCCAGACCTCTGCTTAGCCTGGGGCAGGGAGGAGCGGGTGGCACTGAGCTCAAGTTCAACGGAGAGGGAGGGCTGCTGGGCTCCTGAAGTGTAAATGCTCTCAACAGGGCAGAAGCTGGGGCAGGGACAAGGGCGACCCTCAGAATGTGACTGTAACACTAAAAGCCATGCAAATACGAGCTAAAAGCTCAGCTGAAGTCACTAAGTGGCTCCAGAAATACCTATTTACAAGGAGTTAAAAAGTTTCCCCAATTATGATAGCCTGGTAAACCAGGGTATATTTAGTGCTTGTTTTCCCTTTCAAATTACATAAAGGACTGCTCTGAAGTGCAGCTGCTAGTTATTAATGTGCTTAAAATTAGCAAAATTATGAGTAAATGGAAATCAACAAATACTGCCAGATATGAAATGCTCTGCTCTATTTAAACTTGCTCCCACCAAGGGTAAGGAGGTGGAACAGACAATTTTGTGTGTCACTCACAACCCGACCCTTTTCTTGCTGGTGCCCAAATTTTCATATGTTAAAAAGTTGCCCCTCCCCCACTGCTCAAAGACATTTTGGGGACAGTCACTGAAATAAGGGCTGAAAGATCAGTCCAGCAAGGGTTGCTTCATTCAGGACAGGGGGTCCCCGGGCTGCTGGCTGACTTTCAGGAAAGTGAAAAGATCTGGCTTCCTGGGCTGGACAATGACCGTGTGTGTGATTCCCAGGTCGCCATCTTAGAATGTAAGCCTCTAGAAGCCAGGGTCTCCTTTGACATGACACATGCAGACACGCCTGCACAAAGGGTTTATGGAATTCAGGGAAGAGGAGCCCCAATGTGGAGACACAAGGGGAGAACAGGTTAGGGCCTATCTGGTCACCACCAGGAGGTTTTTTTCTAGAGTCTAGATGGTAAAAAGTGGTCACTTGATGTGTCAACTTTGGTTCATGGGAAGGTGACCTCATGGAGAAAAGAGAAGCCAGATTCCAGCTTCAGTCAGAGGGGGGAAAGGGAGCAGCTGGAATCTGAGAGAAGCTGGCATGACCCTGGAGTGATGTCTGCCATCGGGGCAAAGGGGACTGTGGAGGGGAGCAGGGAGCGAGGCAGGGGTGGTGCAGGAAGCAAGCAGACAAGGCCAGCAGGAGGGTCAGAGAAAACGCAGCTCCCGAGGAGCAGCAGAGAAAGAAAGAGAAATGTGAGTGCTGATGGAGGCAGAATTCCGAGTAAGGGCAGACGGGGCATAATAAACCAGCGGGACCAGAAGTTCTAGAATAGGCATCTGCTGGGCTAGGTCACAGCAGGGCGGGTGGGTACACACACCTGGAATGTAGGTGGATAGAGAGAGGAGAAAGGAACATTTAAACCCATAGTCTCAGAATATGGTCTTTAATAAAACTGGGCTCTAGCTAGGTCACAGAGCAAATAAGGTATTTATGAACTAAAGGCAGGGGCGGGGAGGTACCTGGCATCAAGGCTACACCTTTCCCTAAACTAGTAGTACTTGCTTGCTCACCAATGAATGACCCAACAATGACTGGGTCAGAAATACCCTCACGGGCGAGGAAAGACAGAACAATGGCAAGTCTGGGTTCTTAAGGTGGCCAGAGGGAGCCACTGGATACAAGTCTCCAAAAAAGAATTTAATGTCAGCCAAATCTGCTCAACCATAATAAGCAGCTGGGAAGTTTGATAAAAAATGTAATGCCAAAACTACACCTTTGTATGAAAATTGAAATTCCGCAGTCTTGGGTAAGGTCTGGAAATCTATATTGTTACCAAGCAGGCCAGGAGGGGTTTTTTATATGCATCTGGAGTCCCAGTTTTTATGGCTACAGCCCAGGGATGCCCCTTCTCTCCTGGCTCTGGTGGCCGGGGTGGAGGGCCTGCATTCCTGGGTCCCACGGGACTTAAACAATTGGAGGGACAGTTCTTGACAGGCTACCTGCCCTGCAGGGCACGGAACAGAGAGCAAACCAAAACAAATGCTGGTCTTTCTGTGACGGAGGCTTATCTGCTTGTTCTGGAGCTTTGGCCTACAGGCAGGCTTCTGGTTTGGCACACAACTAGCAGCCCATGGAGGTGCTCATGGGACATGGAGGCCACTGGATGTGATCTTTGTGCTTGCCCTCTGCCTTCCTCTGGCTTGCTGTTCTCTCTCAGAAATGCACTTATACACTTATCTAGTATGCTGATTTTTATGACTACCACCCAAGGTGATACTTTGAGATTGCCTGGCTCTGGTGGCCAGTGGGGCTTACACTTGTGGTCCCACAGGACTGTATATATTTGCATACTTGCTGCCTGAGTGTCTGGTTTACAATCAGCCTAAATCTAGCTGCTAAGATCTTTCCCTTTGGGGACACTGGTTTTGGCACACCCCCAAGTACTGGGATTCATAGGCCCTTTGGACAATCACAAAGCTTTGAGAGACTAGAAAGACCTAGGCCAGGGTTGAACAGCAATGTTCGTCTCCCACATGAGGCCACTCCTTCAAGGCTGGGAGAGTGGCTGTCTTATCGAATACATAAACCAACACAAGAAGTCCAGATAAAGGAGGAAACCGAGGAATACATAACAAAAGAAAAAGATAAAATCACAGGAAAGGTCCTTAATGAAGTGGACATAAGTAACCTGCCTGACAAAAAGTTCAAAGTAATGGTCACTAAGATGCTCACTGAACTTGGGGGAAGAATGGATGAACACAGTGATAACTTCAACAAAAAGAAAATATAAGAAAAATATTAAATAGAAGTCACAGAGCTAAAGGATACAATAATTAAACTGAAAATTATACTAAAGGGGTTCAACAGCAGATTAGATGAAGCAGAAGAAAGGATCGGTGGATTTGAAGACAAGGCACTGGAACTCACCCAATCAGAGCAGCAAAAAGGAAAAAGAATGAAAAAGTGTGAAAACAACTCAAGGGACCTATAGGGCAACATCAAGTAAACCAACATTTGCACTATAGGGGTCGCAGGAGAAGGAGGAGAGAGAAAGGGGCTACAAACTTCCGTAACCCAGGGAAGGAAACATCCATCCAGATCCAGGAAGATCAGAGAGTTCCAGATAAGATGAACATTTTTAAAAGGGACCTACACCAAGACACATTACAATTAAAGTCTCCAAAGTTAGACAGAAAGAGTATCTTAAAAGCAGCAAGAGAAAAACGACTTGTTATGTACAAGTGAATCCCCATTAGGACTTCAGCAGAAGCTTTTCCAGGCCAGAAGGGAGAGGTATGACATACTCAAAATGCTCAAAGAAAAAACTGCTAACCAAGAATCCTCTACTCAACTAAGTTGTCCTTCAGGATTAAATGGGACAAAGAGTTTTCCAGACAAATAAAAACTAAATAAGTTCAACACAACTAGAGTGCCCTTACAGGAAACCTAAATCTTACTGGAAAAGGTAAACCTATAGTAAAGGTGGTAGTAAATTAATTAATTATGAGCCTAGTATGAAGCTTAAAAGACAAAAGTAATAGAAATAACTATTTTACGGTTGGCCCTTGCACAACACAGGTTTGAACCACATGGTTCTATGTGATTTTCTTCTTTAAATATTTTGGGAAAATTTCTGGAGATCTGCAACAGTCTGAATAACTTGCAGACAAACCACATAGCTTAGAAATATCAAAAATAAGGATGTCAGGAATGCATAAAATATATGTGTCTATTACAAAAAGTTAAAATTTATTAAAATGCACATATGGTACATGCATGGCACCACTCACAGATGAGAGAAATATGAACAAAGATGCAGTATTAAATCATAACTCACAAAATTAACTAGACTACATAACTAGTGTACTACTGCAGTGATTTTGCAGCCACTTCCTATGGCTACTGCAGTGAGGCCCAGTGTTGAAAGTATCCACTTAAAATGCACGTGAGGCTAATCGCCTCTGCATGAGAGGTTCATCTCTCCAGTAAACTGGGCATCACAGTAAAAAGTGATCTCCGTTCTCTTCTACTTCTCATTGTGTGGAGTGCAATACCATGAGCCTTGAACCACACCATGGGACCCATTCGAAGTGCTACTAGAGATGCTGGAAGTATTCCCCGAAGCAGAGAGACATGAAATTACACAGAAAAGTTGAACTGCTTCAGATGCATCAGGGATTGAGGTGTGTGGCTGCAGCCGCCTGCCAGATTGCAGTAAGTGAATCTTGCCTAAGGACCATTGTGAAAAAAGAAGAGGAGATTCATGAAGCTGATGTTGCAGCTGTGCCAGGAGGCACGAAAGCTGTGCTTCTGGTGAAATATCTTTTGATCTCCTATTGAAGATGCAGCTTTTATTGGGGGGGGGGGGGACAGGACCACTAATAAGAAAGGCATTCCTACAGACTCCAATAGGCTTCACGAAAAAAACGAAGTCATTATGTGACAATTCAAAGCAAAAGGAAGGTGAAGGATTTAAAGTTATAGAATTGAATGCCAGCAAAGGATGGTTTGATAATTTTTAGAAAGAGGTTTGGTTTTACAAATGTTCAAGATAACAGGAGGTGCAGTTCTGCCAACCAAGAGGCAGCAGACGAGTTACCAGATGCCATTAAGAAAATCACTGAGAAAGGATATCCTCCCAAACAGGGTTTTAATGCAGACAAAAATGCTCTATTCTGGCGTAAAATGCCACAAGAGACATTTATTATTTTCTCCAGTGCACAGCAGGATTTAAAGCAGGAAGGGATAGACTAACTCTACTGTTTTATGCAAATGCAGTTCAGGTTAGGATCAGGACTGCCCTTATCTATAATCCCACTGACTTCTGAGCCTTGAAGGGAAACCATAACAGCTTCCGGTCTTTTGGTTGTACAAGGCCTGGGCCATAAGGACACTTTTTCTGGACTGGTTCCACCGATGCCTTGTCCCGGAAGTCAGGAAGTACCTTGCCATTAAGGAACTGCCTTTTAAAGTTATTTGATATTGGACAATGGTCCTGGCCACCCAGTACCCCATGAGGTCAACACCAAAGGGTTGGTCTACTTGCTCCCAAACACATCTCTAATTTAGCCCTTAGATCATGGAGTCATAAGAACCTCAAGACTGATCACACAGTACTCTGAGAAGGACTGTCAACACTATGGAACAGAACCGTGATAGAGCGAACACCATGAAATTCATGAAATCATCGTTATAGAAAAAGCTGTGAAAACCATCAAGCCCAAAATAATAAATTCCTGGTCAAGAAAACTCTCTAGATGCTGTGCATAACTTCACAGGATCTATGAATGAACCAATCAAGGAAATCATGAAAGAGACTATGGACGTGGGGGTAAAAAGGCAGGAGGTGAAGGGTTTCAAGATGTAGATCTTGGAAAAGGCCAAGGGCTAACAGACAGCACACCAGAGGAATTAACAGAAGATGACTCGACAGAGATGAGTGCTTCCAAACCAGTGCCAGATGATGAGGAATAAGACATAGAAGCAGTGCCAGAAAACAAATTGACACTAGACAATCTGGCAGAAAAGTTCGGTTATTCAGAACTGCTCTTGACTTCTTTTACAACACGAACCTATGATATGGACACTGAAAGGAAAGCTAGTGGAGGATCATTACTGTACAGAAACATATTCAGAGAAATGAAAAAGCAAGAGTGTCAGAAATTACAGTGTATTTCCATAGAGAGAGGGAGTGTGTCTGCCTCTCCCACCTGTTTCCACCTCTGCCAGCCCTCAGACAGTATGGCCAACCCCTCGTCTTTCTCCCTCTCCTCAGACTACTCAATGTGAAGATGGTGTGAAGACTTTTATGATCCACTTCCACTTAATGAATAGTGACCATCAGACTATACAGTGAATAAACTTCCTGTTGTGTATCTGTTTTCACATACAGCAAGAACTGTAGGAGACGCTGTGTGTCATTGTCATCGTTACTGAAAAATTCATCGTGCAATGTGCAAGTCTCCTATGGAAGTGAAGAGCCTGTCCTTACATAGGCATAAGGTGAGTGATATTTAATATGAAAGTAACAATGCTTTAGTTTTCTTCCTGTTTTATAATTTTGCTTTCAAAGAATTACATTACTGTAAAGCATGCCTTTCACTCTCATAATTGGGAGAAAACTGCCTATCAGTCAATTGGAGATAAGTGGTTTTTTTTTTTTTAAATGTAACAATGTTTCTAAAACTGTACTATAAATATGACTAATACTTTGTGCCATAAAACTTTTATAGCAATTCATTCATTAGCATATAGTCTAGGCAATCATATCAATTCCACTAGGCTACCACAGAGCAATCATACTGTTGCTTCTTCATCATCAATGCATAAATTGTTATTCCTGTAAATAAATATGCATTCCTTTTCACTTTTGATGTCTAGTGTTAATAATATGTGTACCATCTACAGTGTTTTGTATCATATGAGACAAAGTTGGTATAGGTACTGACAGATGATTAATCATGTAAACAGTCAAGGTAGACTTATAGTATAATACTGTAAATGTACTTCTCTTATAATTTTCAGTATTTAGCTTATTTTATTGTAAGAATACAGTAAATACAATACAAAATATTTGCAAATGACTATGTTATTGGTGAGGCATCCAGTTGACAATAGGCTATTAATAGTTATATTTTTGGGAAGTCAATACAAAAATACACAGATTTTTGACTGTACAGGGGGTTGACACCTCATACCGCCTTGTTGCCCAAGGGTCAACTGTAACTAGTTAAGGGATAAACAAGATAAAAAAGGTGTAAATTGTAACATCAAAAACATAAAATGTTGGTGGGGGGAGTAAAAATGTAGAACTTTAGAATACTTATAAACTTAAGTTGTTATGAACTGAAAGTATAAGTTGTTATATGAAAACCTCATGGTAACCACAAAGTAAAAACCTATGATAGATACACAAAAGATAAAGGGAAAAGAATCTTAGCACACCACTACAGAAAGTTGTTAAAGCATAAAGGAAGAGAGCCAATGAAGAAAGGAACACAGAGGAACTACAAAACACTAAAAAGTATATACCTATCAATAATTATTTTAAATGTAAATGGACCATATTCTCCAATTAAAAGATACAGGGTGGCTGGATAAAAAACCCCACAACCCCTCTACATACTTCTATACACATCTATCTACTTCTTACTTCAGACATAAGGACTCACATAGGCTGAAAGTGAAGGAATGACAACAGATATTCCATGCAAATGGAAACCAAAAGAAAACTGGTGTAGTTATCCTGCTCTCAGACAAAAAAGACTTTAAAACAAAGACACATAATGATAAAAGGGTCCAACCCAATAAAAGGATACAACATTTATAAATATTTATGTACCTAACATAGTAGCACCTAAATATATGAAACAAATATAAACAGACTTACAATGAGAAACAGCAATTCAATAATAGGGGATATTTGTTAAACCACTTTCATCAATGGACAGATTATCTAGACAAAGTCAATTAGGAAACATCAGCCTTAAATGACACACTAGACCAGATGGACGTAACAGCTATATATAGAACATTCCATCCAAAAGCAAAAGAATATACATTCTTTTTAATCACACATAGAACATTCTCCAGAATGGATCATATGTTAGGTCACTAGTCTTAATAAATTTTAGATGACTGAGATTAAATCAAACATCTTTCCCCACTATAATGGTATGAAACTAGAAATCAATTATGAGGGGAAAAAAGGGGAAATTCACAAATATGTGAAGACTAAATAACATGGTACTGAACAACCAATGGGTCAAAGAGAACATCACAAGAGATATCAAGAGATACCAAGAAATACTTTCAGAAGAATGAAAATGAAAATACATCCTACCAAAGCTTATGGGATGGAGCAAAAGCAGTTCTAAGAAGGAAGTTCATAAAGTGCCTGCATCCTCATCTCAAATCAACAACCTAAGTTTACAACTGAAGGAAGAAGGACCAAAGTTAGTAGAAGGAAGGCAGTAACAGATCAGAGTGGAAAGAAATGAAACAGAAACTAAAAAACCCCCAAACAAAATATAAAATTAACAATCCTTTAACTAGACTCACCAAAAAAAAAAAAAAGAGAAGACTCAAAATCAGAAATGAAAGAAGAGACATTACAACTCATACCAGAGGAACCAGAGGAATACAGAGGATCTTGAGAGACTACTACAATTATACACCAACAAATTGCACAACCTAGACAAAATGCATAATTCCCAAAAACACACAACCTGAGTCAAGAAGACATAGAGACTGAGTGCTGCCTACTATGCGAAGAAGGCATGAAGACTAAACCATGAAGAATGAAAATCTGAAAAGACCCATTACTAGTAAAGAGATGGTTGGGAGGTTTGTGTTTACTGATTCAAACAAAAATCCACAAACAGGACTTTACTGGTGAATTCTACCAAACATTCAAAGAAGAATTAGTCCTTCTAAAGCTCTTCCAAAAAACGAAGCAGCAGCAAAACAGCAAACACAAAATGCGTCCAAACCCATTTTATGAGGCTAGCATTACCCGGATACCATAATTAGACAGTAACACCATAAGAAAAAAATCATAGGCCAGTTATCCCTGATGAACACAGATGCAAAAATCCAAAGAAAATATTAGCAGACTGAATTCAGAGATACATTAAAAGGACCATATACTATGATCAAGGGGGATTTACCTCAGGGATATAAGTATAGTTCAATATCCACAAATCAATCAATGTGATATAGAACATTGAGAAAATTAAGGATAAAAATCATATAATCATCTCAAGAGGTGCAGAAAAGCATTGAACAAAAATCAACATCATTTACGATAAGAACTCTCAAAAAGTGGGTATAGAGGGGATGTACTTTAACATAATAAAGGCCATATATGACAAGTCCAGAGCTAACAACACACTCAATGGTGAAAAGCTAAAAGCTTTCCCTCTAAGGTCAGGAACAAGACAAGGATTCACACTTTTGGCTCTTTGATTCAATAAAGTATTAGAAGTCCTAGCCAGAGCATTAAACAGGAAATAAAAAATCCAAATATGAATTAAAACTTACTATTTGCAGATGGCATATTATACTAGAGAACCCTAAAGACTCTGACAAGAAACCATTAAGAATAAAGGAATTCAGTAAAGTCGCAAGATACCAAATCAATTCACAAAAATGTGTTGCATTTCTATACACTAATAACAATATATAAGAGCAAGTAGGAAAATAATTGTACCAGAAGGAATAAAATACCCAGGAATAACTTTAACCATGGAAGTAAAAGACCTGTACACTGTAAACTATAAGATACCGATGAAAGAAACGGAAGACACAAATAAATGGAAGGTATTCTGTGTTCATAATATTGTTAGAATGTCCATACTACCCCAAGCAATCTACAGATTGAATGTGCAACCCCTATCACAATTTTAACAGCATTTTTCACAGAAGTAGAATGAGAAATCGCAAAATTGTATGTAATTACAAACAACTCTGAACAGCCAAAGCAATCTTGGAAAAAATGAAGCTGGAGGCATCATGATTCCTGATTTCAAACTATATTACAAAGCTACAGAAATCAAAGCAGTATGGTTTTGGCATAAAAACACACATCAAAGGAACAGAGAGCCCAGAAATAAACATATGTGGTCAATTAATTTATGACAAAGAAGCCAAGAATATCCAATAGGGAAAGGATGGTCTTTAATAAATGGTGCTGGGATTAACTATGGATTAAAGACTTGACTGTAAGACCTGAAACCATCAAACTTCCAGAGTGTTTTTTTCAGTAAGCTCCCTGACATCAGTTTTGATAATGACTTTTTGGATTTGACACTAAAAGCAAAGGCTAGCAAACATAAACAAGTGGACTACATGGAAACTAAAAAGTTTCTGCACAGCAAAGTATTAACAAAATGAAAAGGCAACCTATGGAATGCCATGGAATGAGAGAAAATATTTGCAATTCATATCTGATAAGGGGGTAATATCCATAATCTATAAAGAACCCTTACAACTCAATAGCCAAAAAACAATTCGATTAAAAAATGGGCAGAGTGTGTGAATAGCCATTTTTCGAAAGAACACATATAGATATGGCCAACAGGTAAATGAATAGATGCTCAACATCACTAATCATCAGGGAGATGCACATCACGACCAAGATGAGATGTCACTTCTCACCTGTTAGAATGTCTATTATCAAAAAGGGAAGATACACGTGCTGGCAAGGGCGTGGAGAAAAAGAAACCCTTGTGCACTGTTGGTGCTGTCACTCTGGAAAACAGTATGGAGGCTCCCCAGAACAGAACGACTACAGGATCCAACTACCCTATGATCCAGAAGTTCCACTCTGGATATTCATCTGAAGAAAATGGAAACTCTAACTTAACTCTGTTATTTATAATAGCTAAGGTGGGAACAGTAGCTATAATGGACACACAAGTGTCCACTGATGGATGAATGGGACACACACACACAACGGACTACTTCTCAGCCTTAAAATATGAAATCTTCCCCATTTTGCAACAACATGGATGGGCCTTGAGGGCATTATGCTGATTGACATAAACTGAAGAAGGACAAGTAAGTCAGAGGGTTTCCTGCAACGTACCGCATGGTGACTAGTTAATACTTACTGCGTATTTGGAAGCTGCTAAGAGAGTGATGTTAAAAGGTCCCATTGAAAGAAAAAACAACTTTGCAACCATGCATGGTGGCAGATCTTAACTGTGGTGATCATTTCAATAAACAAACATCTAATCATTATGTTGTACACCTGAAACTAATATAATGTTACATGTCGGTTACACTTCGATAAAAACAAAAACAAACCAAGCATCCCGGATGACACTTACAGTCTGGGGAGGCTGAATGTCGGTGTCCTGTGGGCTGGGATTACAGGGGAGAGGCGGGCTGAGGGAAGGCTGGCTAGCAGAGAATCTGAGCACGCAAGCCAGATTTCCTCCAGCTCTTACTCTCTGAGCAGATGGAGGGGCCCCTCTTTCTGGGGACTCGCCTCCCTCCGCAAGGCTGCGGGGCTGCAGCAGGAAAACAAACTTACCATGCAACGACTTCATTCCCAAGGTGTAAGAAGGCCTCCGCAACGGAAGAGACTTGGGAAGAGAAGGGTACGTGCTACTGAAGAGGACGTCGTTGGGCAGAGCCTGGTCCAGAAGCGAAGCCCTTGAGGTGAAAAAATGCTCCCTCTGCCCGCTGTAAATGCTCTCATCTGACAGCGTCCGGTGCAAAGCCCGCCTTGAAGTGGGAGTGGTAGGGAAAGGAGACTGAGGAGAGGAGAGCGCATGGAACTGAAAAAAAAAAGTGTCGAGACAACAGGAAGTTAATTTCTTGGGTCACAAACCCCAGTCTTGGATTGGGGATGGGCGGGCTGACAAAATCACTGCTCTTAGGCCCCCCCCACCCCCGCCCTTCAAATCCTGGAGCCTGGCAGGGAAGCCTCCAGCTCCACCATCTCTGTCTACATCCTTCAGAGCTAAGATGGAAGTTCCCGGCCATTGTATCCTCAAGGCCCAGCACGCTGCCTATAGCCTGCGGGTGCTCAGCACATAATTCAGGTGTGAGATTAAGCAGATTCATCAGGATTGTGTCATGGTAAGAGCAAGATGATGACCAGAAAGATGTGAGTTTTATCTGAGTCCTGTGCCACTGACCAAATCTGAGCCCAATATCTCTAGGACTATTACGAGGAGTAAATGAAAACACTGGACTGGACTGTTTACCAGTGGTATTAAGCAACATCATCGTCCCCAGGGGAACAGCCACAGTGCTTCCGCAGAAGCACAGCAGGTGACACCACGTTTGCTGGGCAACGAGAGCACTGGATCATCATCAGCATCGAGTAGGTGCCTCTTGATAAACCTCAATCCCTAAGACATTTAAGGGATTAACATTAAGAGTTTTAGCGATTATTTTTTAGGATGGATTTCTATTCATGAAATTAAAACAGGGAAGCCATCTTAAGTGACAAATATTCATACAGTTATATATAAATGGCTGACATTCCAAAGAACTTTTATCTCTTGTTGATGTCTTTTGCCTTTGTCACCAGGTTTGATTTTACTTGAGATTCTTCTGCAAAAAGTGAACTTCTGAGAATCCCGTTCATTGAGAAACAACAGCTACATTAACAATGTTTAAATATTCAGCCAGAGAGCCAACAGACTATCTGGTCTATCAGCAATAAAGCTACACTTATTCCGTGGCTCTCACACTAATGTTCACTCTGGCAGGGAGAACAATGTGGGGGACAGGGGGACAGGTGAAGACGTGAGTGGGAGCGCTGAGTCATAGCTGGCAGAAAGCCTCTGTGGGACTTTCCATGACACTCTGAAGGGGCAGAGGGATGACGACACAGGCACGTCTCCTTTAAGGATGCTGAGAACAGAGCGGACACTCAGGTTCACTCATGTGCTCTGTGTCTAACATGGTTCTGTTCAACAAACCAAGGGTTAATCATGTAAAGCTGCCCAGGAAATGGTGTGCGCAACTGCTGCATAAATGTGAAAAAATTATTAGTCAAACGCATTGTAAATGAGCCCCAGGTGTAGCCAACTGTGTAAGAACTGTGCTCACTGCTAAAAATTCATGAGGAGTGAAATGCAAGGTACATATATGCTCGCCTAGAAAAATAAGCTGCTGTGATAAATTCTCTGTGAGTCCTTAAGTACAGGGAACTGGGTATGGAAATGGTGATTTCCCTTCTCACCTCACAGGAAGAGTGGGCTTTACAAAGGTTAAATGGCTTGCTGATTACAATTTTAAAAACTAAAGCCAGCTTATCTCTCCTGTGTCTGCAAGCTTCTAGGATTATCGCGGAAGGTCCTGCCGACCATGCCAGCGGTCCCCCCCTCCCCCACTCCCCGGGCCCTCCATTCAACCACTTTCTTAGCACTTCTGGGTTCAGCAAAGGGTTTTCCTTTTCCAGTGAGTATCCCCACCCTGATGGTTTTACGGGAAGGTTTTCCACCAGAATTGTTGGAACTAGAATTAGTTTTAGCCTCTTTTGGGGGAAATATTAATATACCACAAGGCAGTGAACAGCTACCTTGAAGGGATCCTTTGAGCAGCATGCTTTATTAAAAATTATAACATCCTGCACTCAAGAGAGGCAGGGTAGGTGATGGAAGGAAGCAATCTGCCTTGATGCTTTCCACCCATTAAAACGGAGTCTTGTCCAAACACGCTGGGAAGTCCCCTCACCCCACCCCTCTTCAATTCCAGTTTTGTAGGTATGCACACCTATCTGGTTCCAAGAGCACCCTCTGCCAGCCTCGCAGGGTGCTTGCTGGGTGGCGCCGAGAGCCGCCAGCCCTGGGAAGGAACCACAATGGAGTCAACAGGTGACTCGGAAGGGATATGAGAGTGCATAAGGCAGGGGTTTTTCAAACTGCACCAATGGACCCTATAGGTTCCTCACAGCATCACTGCCTGGGGAGAGGAGATGTTCAGGTGGGACCCCGGAGCCCAGGACACCCACCCCTCCCATTAGAGAAACTGCTTTCTCAGTTCTACATATTGGGCTTCCACGTATACTTTTATTCAAATTCCTGAGCTTTAAAAGCACCTGGCCACCACCCATCTACTCCAGGCCCCTATTTCAAAGCTGAGGAACAAGGCATCTTGCTCCAGGTCAGTCTCCTGTCCTCTCCCTCTTTCCAGTCCCCCTGGCTGCAGCAAAATGGGGTACCTGCACCTGCAAGAAACAAGCAGTGCTTACTGGCTGCAGAGCAGGGCTACTGGTCTGTACTGTGTTCACTGGAGGCTGTGCGCAGCCCTCGGGGAAAATAGGTTATCCCAGTTCTGTCCACCAGGGACTTTCGTAGAATGTTAGAGCTCTACAGCCACCTCCCTCGGAGACACAGCCTGCCAGGCAGTCTGTCCCATCCTACAGCAGACATCACATGCCCGGCAGTGACCCTGTCATTTGATATCAACCAGGGCTCCCAAGTAGCGCTTGCTATCCAGGAAAGCCGATGTGGTCCGAGCGGGTTCCAAGGATCACACAGCCCAAGGCTGGCTGCTGCTGGGACCCTGACGCCTGACACGGTGGCTCGGGGCCCTGGGCCAGGCATGGCCTGGAAGACCTCTCAGGAGCACGCTGGCCTTTCTGACACAGCAGAGCCTTGGGTGTTCAGGCAGAGAATCTTGGAAGACACACGGAGCTACTCAGCTAAACTCCTCTGAAACCAAACCGAAAAGGAGGACAGCGGAGGGAAAAGAGCCTTATTTCTAGCCCTGCCTGCAGCCTTTCCCAGCAATGGAGGGTCTCATGGTGATACAGCCGTGGCACAAAGCGTACTCCCGCTTCAGCGAGGAATGTTAAAATAATTCATCTTGGAAATAAAAGCCAAGAACTGGAAGAAGGGGAAAACAGACATTTGCTTTCAATTATTTCTAATGCATAAGTAAATTGAAAGAATGGAGTTTGCCCCTCTCCTAGAGAAAAAAAAAAGTTAAACTGAGAATTGGAGGAAAGATTCCATTCAGGGCAAGTTTTATTTTCCTCTAACCTCACAGGAGAAATCTGAAATAATTTTTAGTTTGAAACTGGTACGTAAACATTTTAATACACCTCTTTGGGTTCTGATAGATAAAGGAAGAAGTTTCAAGCACTATCTTTCGCAAGGTTGCTAAGGAAACCATCTGAGCCCTGGGTGAGGAGTCAGACGTCTTAAGTGCTGCCTTATAAAACAAACTACAGAAATCAAGAACGGCAAGTCTTTAAAGTGATTTATGATGTTACTATTTATGTTAATAAATCTATTTCTCAGCAGAACTCCAGAAAGGCCTTTGGAATACATTTAATTTCTGTAAATGTGGATTTTGAAGCTTAGGAGGTAAATCTGGCCTGTCTTGAGGAAGACAGACAGACACACACGCACACACACAGGCACGTACGTCACACACAGCAGTGGTGAGGGCAGGGTCACACGGCTCATCCCGCTGGGCAGGTCCCCCTGCACTCTGATCCCAGTTTGAGGACAGGGAGCGTTCAGGGAAATGGTGTGGCTTACATTTTCAATCAATTGTCAAGAGTTCTTAAATTACACTTTCTGGTCACTTTAAACAGACTGCCAGTCATTTACTAAGAGCCTAGAGCACATAACATGTCCAAGTCTGCTGCCCCCGACCTTGACTCCCGTCTCCTAGGGCTACACAACACACCACAGACAGGAATGTCTTAAGCTCAGAGCCAAATACGCTTGGGCCCCAAGCAACAACCAGCTCTGGGTCCTGGGAGTGTGAGATCGCACACTGTCGAGAGCCTCGAGTAGGCGTCAGTGGTCTTCAGAGCTGCGGGGAGTGGAACAAACCTTCCATGTGGTCATGCAAAGGTCTGGCCACTGACACACAAACACGCACCTGAGCATGTGCATGCTCGGGACGTGATGGGGAAGGGGGCTGGGAAGGCGTTTCTCACCTGCAGTTCTGGGAGGGAAGTGGAGAGAAGGCTGTGTGAAGTAAGAGAGCCTAGAAAATTCTGAAGGTATGTGGTATAGAACTAGTTTGCTGGGCTGAAGAGGTGGCTTTTGGGGGCAAAGGGGTGGAGTGAGTGTCCATCAGCCAGTTTCTGCGTGACGGTACGGCATGTGGCGCGCAGCTGGTGCGCCTGCCTGGCGGGTCAGGGGGCACAGGCGAGGCTGGGTGCAGGCTGCCGTGGGGGCTCCTTGTCAGTGGAGGGGCCCTTCGGGCAGAAGACACTAAAGTCTTTACAGGAAACTGACAAGGGAGCCGCAGGTGCCTCTGCAGAGTTCTCAGAAGCAATGTTGTCTGAGCCGATACTGTTCCATCAGGAGCGTGGCTCGTGCGCTGGGAGTGGGGTGCGCCTAAGAACGTGGTGGCGGAAGGGACAGCTTAGTCTAAAGGCAGACTAAGAGGTGTGGCGGCGGAGACAGAACACCCCAGTGTGAACCAGTTTTGAGGAAGAGGGGGTGACAGTGGGAAGGTGGGCTCCACGGAAGAGGGGCCGTGAGCCAGGAGGGTGCCCCTGCAGCGAGCGGCCCCTTCCCGTCTGGCCTCCCTGACTGCCATCGTCCCCGGGCTCTGCCCTGTACCTTAAAGTTCTTCTGCGACTCGGGAGTTGGGCTTTCCAGGTCGATGAGTTTCTTGAGGTCCTCCTCAATGGTGGACTTGGAGGCCGGCTTGGGGGACGCCCGGAGGTCCCTGGTTGAGGCACGCAGCCTGGTGTGGGCTATCTCGTTGCCGTCGCTCTGGTGACGCCTGGAAGGAAAGGGAAGAGAGGGTGGCAGCCCCGCTGGCAAGGTTGAGGGGAGGGGGCGATGGGCCCCGAGGCTGTAAGTCGGTGGGGAAGTACGGGAGAGAAACGGCGACGCTGCTGGGCTACCTGTTTGTGAAACACACCAGCACTCTAAACGCAAAAGAAAAAATTCCGATGGATAAATCACTATTCTCTACAGGAAACTGTTAGCTCCACTAAGCCCAAATTAGCAAGACTTATTAATAAAAGACTACAGGCTATGAATCCCAAGCGTAAGTTTTGTACTAACACAAACAACATAATTGAAGGAATCACTTAGGGTTTTGTTTCTCTTTTTTTTTTCTTGCTGTACTACTTTGTCAAAAAGTTCTTTATATTCAGGGTAGTCCCATTCTACTGCTCCCTCTGGTGGCTCCCGGCCCCACTAAAGATTACATGGGAAGGCTGTGATTAATATCACCAAAGGGGTAGTGTCGTACTAGCGCTAGACGGTCATTTATCCCAAAGTCTGTTCTTCGGACATACTCTTTCCGACGAGATCGAAGATTCTCAAATCAGTGTTTTGCCACACATCTTATTTAAGGAATGAAGCAGAGAAATAACTGAAGACCGGTTTTACTCAGGAGAAGAAAAAACAAATCTCCCTACCAAACACCAGTGCCTTCCCAGACCCCAGCGGGCCTCCCCTCTTGTAGGAAATGGCCCCAACCTTTTCCATCCTCCGCCATGTTGAAAGCAAACCACCCAAGGAAGAGAAGCAAAAGAATTCTTACTTTCTTGTGTCCATGAATCCCACGGAGTTTATGGTTCCTTCGGGTTTCTTCCAACCAATCAGGTACTTGCTGGTGGCGCCCTGGCGAGGGTAGAAAGTCCTAGGACCAGACGAGGAGGAGGAGGAGGAGGAGGAAGGTAGGAGCTGTGAGGTGGCAGGATGGAGCTCTTCCTTAGGGGAGCTTCTGGCACTGGTGAAGACAACGGGGCTGGGAGAGTGTCGGGAGCTCATGGTGCTGAGGAGAAGCAGGACAGAGACAAAACGACCCCGGTGTGCACGCGTGCATCCCAGGGTCAGCACAGCGGCTGTGGAGGTGTCATCCAGGATAGGGGTGACGGCCAGGTTAAAGAGCAATGAGTACATCGTCAAACAGTAATGGGGATGGGCTGGCTAGCCAAAACAGTCTTGTTTTCTTGCCTTAATTTAAAGGTCTGCTGTGAAAATGAAACATGGTCACTGGGGATGAGTCTGAACTTTTAAGTTAAAAGGTAAAAATAGTTAAGACGGTCAGGGATGCCTTGAAACATGCTGGCACACTGAGGTTTGCTACGGTGAAGCCTGGAAGAGGCAAGGAACAGGAGAATTGGCAATAACAGGTCTAGCAGTCTCAGTGGCTGTCTGCCTCGGCTTCCTCAGACCCAGGGCTCCTGGTGATGCTCCCCAGGTCTGGGCTGAGGAAGGGACATGACACTGGATCAGGCATACAGTTCTCCACACACCCACATCCCAGGCCAAAGGGGCACACTGAGGTCTCCTTCCCCACGGTATCTGGCATTAAGACTGATTCTCTAAAGACTTGAACGTTAAGACCTGAAACCACAAAACTCCTAGAGGAAATCACAGGGGGTAAGCTCCTTGACATCAACCTTGGCCATGGTGCCATGGTGTTTATGGCAAGCAAAAGCAAAAAAAAAAAAAGCAAGTGTAACCATATCGAAGTAAGCTGTACGGCAAAGGAAACCGTCAATAAAATGAATGCAAATCATATTCTGCCAAGAGCTTAATATCCAGAATATATAAAGAACTCCTGTAACTCAATAGAAAAAAAAATGTGATTAAAAATGGGCATAGAATCTGAATAAAACATTTTTCCAAAGAAGATCTACAGATGGCTAACAAGTACATGAAAAGACACTCCACCTCACTGAGTATCTGGGAAATGCAAATCTAAACCACAATGAAATATCACCTCACACCTGTCAGAATGGCTATTACCAACAAGACAAAAAATAACAGGTGTTGAAAAGGGTGTGGAGCAAAGGGAGCCCTTGTGCACTGCTGGCGGGAATATAAATTGGTGCGGCCACTATGAAAAACAGTATGAAGGTTCCTCAAAAAATTGGAAAAAATTAGAACTCCCATATGATCCAGAAATTCCACATCTGGGTATTTGTCCACAGAAAATGAAAACACTAACTTGAAAGTATCTACACTTTCAAGTATCTTCCCATGTTCACTGCAACATTATTATCAAGAGCCAAGATACGGAAACAACCTAAGTGTCCACTGATTGATAAATGGTTAAAGAAAATATGGTATACATATACTGTGAAATATTACGCAGCCATAAAAAGGACATACTGCCATTTGCAACAATATAAAATGGATCTTGAGGACTTAATGCTAATTGAAATAAGTCAGACAAAGACAAATACTGTATGATCTCACTTATGTGTGCCATCTAAAATAAAATGAGCCCACAGATACAGAGAACAGATTGGTGGTTGCCCCAGGTGGGGGTAGAGGTGGGGAGAAGTGGGTCAAAAGGTATAAACATCCACATAGAAGAGAGCCCTGGGGATGTTATTAATGTGCAACATGGTGACTAAATATAAAAATAAAAAGCTGTCCGTCATCGATGGATTTTAAACTTTGGTTAAAGATTACAGAACTAAAGCCTACAGGACCCCGGGAGAAGGCTACTCACTCATCACGCATTAAAACTCAGAGGTTTAAAAACTGGGGCTGAGCGTGGAGGTGGCCTATGAAGCTGGAGACCCTTCGATGGCAGAATTTCCACGCCTCCCTCCCCATGATCTCACGGGCCCTACGTTCACACCACGTGAGCCCCACTGAGCTCTTCAGTTTAGGCTGAGACCAAAGACGCTGGCCCAATGGACGTTGTCATCGAAGGTTCAGTGACCAGGATGAGGTCTCAGAGCATTTGCCAACAGCACTTTGTTGGTCAAAAACCAATGGTCCCGATCTGAATAAAGTACGGACTTTTCATAATGCGTCAATACGGACTCCTGAGCTACGACAAATGCACCACAGGAATAGGCACCAGGAGGCCAACAGCGGGGGCCGCTGGGTGAGGGGTACGTGGGAACTCTCTACGGGCTTTGTAAGTTTTCCGCAAATCAAAAACTATTCTCAAACAAAAACATTTCTTACTTAAAAACTAAGCAAATGAACCAAACCAAAAGCCCCAAATCTTAGCGGTGCTGAGACAGGAGACACTACACACAGATGAAAGTGAGCTTGAAGCCCCACCTGCAGCCTTACCTAAATATCAATTGCAGCTGGCTTGTGTATTTAAACGTAGATCTAAAGATTCTGGACTGTACCACGAAGAAGATCTTTATGATAGAGGCAGAGGTCTCTTTAAAGGATCATAAAGGAAAGGACTCAACCCCGTTGAAAGTTAAGAATGTGTATTCATCAAAAGACACAGAGAAGAAGATGTATAAAACACAGGTCCAACAATGGGCTCCTATC